CCCCGGCCCCGCCGCCGCTCCCGCAGGGCCCCCGCGCCTGTGGAGGTGGAGGAGCGGCCCCTCGCTGCCGCCCCGCCCCGCCCCGGCCCCTGCATTGCAGAGACTCCAAGGCTCCGGGCCGGCCAGCCCGCGCCCTGCCACCGGCCCGGCCCGTGTCCGGCCCTGCTGTACCCTGCTGCTGGGGGGAAACCTTCCCGAGAGCCCCTCACCTGACTTCATTTGGATCTTCCAAGTCCAGTTCGGTCTAATTCCTCCTTTTCCTCTGGAGAAAGAGAGCAAATAATAGTGAGATGGGTGAAAAAACGCCCTTTACAACACCCTCGGCCACCGCGCTGCTGCTGACTTCCACGCTGCTTTCGTAGGGCCGGGCTTTCCAGCCATTTCCTGGAATCTGGCAATAAAAGATATCCTATTACTTTGTCACTTACCACGTTCTCGAAGCGATCTGCCCCCTCAGGGTGTCCATTACAGTTGCTATACTCCAAAGTCATTCCTCGCACAGTATGGCTGGCGTGGTCGGGCTACAGCATCAGCTCATCTCACCTGTTACAGCCGGGACATGTCATTCCAACCCACCTGTGCTGGAGCTGAACGAGTAAAATGCTGCTTTCTTACATCCTTTGTTTTATCTCCCTAAGCAAATTTCAGTTCGTTAATAATTCATGACTGCAAAAGTCAGTCTGTCGGAATCTTAACCAAAAATTCTGAGTATGTCATGTATGTATTAGCCTGCAATAATGTTTTGAAGGTACTATATTTTGGTTCAGTGAAGATAAATATGTTTGGGAACCTAAAGTGCACACTGTTACCCATACTGCAGTGGAAAAACTTTAAACACTAAATTCAGTTTGGTTGCATTTTGCTGCATCACTGTGAGCAAGTCCTCCACATTTTTTTCCCCAAATGTCACTAATTTTAGGTAGCCAGCTTGATTTCAAGCATGATTTTCAGGAGTACTGAGCACTTGGTTTTCTTTGTGGGCTTTAGCAGGTTATCTAGAAGATTTCATATCTGTAATTTGGGCCACATATGTCTTTGAGTGGTCAAAATGCAGCTCAGGAAAGCCTGGGTCCCGCCCTTGCGTCTGTTTCTTCATTCATAAAGAAATACCCTCAGCAACTGCTACATATATTTCATGTTAAGGGTATGTCAGTGTTAATGAAGTGACTTGGGAAGACCAAGTTACTTTGTTAAGTATTTTTATGTATTTGTAAATCAGGAAATTTTCATATAAAAAGAGTGAGAATAACAAACATTTCTTCCGGTACTTTTCCTGAGCCATCCTCAAGCTGTTTGAGAGAACTTCCCACCACTGCTCTTTTCTCACATTTCATCTGTAAATCAGCGCCATGCAAAGGGAGCAGGATTTTGCCGAAGTGACAAAGGCATCATGTTCCCTGCTTGTTACTCACCATCAGTGGTGTACATCCTTCCAGAGATGCTTTCAGAGAAAATGGATTTGCTGCAGTCAGTCTTTCTCCCAGGCTGCCAGGAGCTAAGGCACTGGTTCAGGGCATGTGCACCAGTGTCTGCAAAACCCTGAAGACAATCCAGTGCCTTTCTCCTGCTGGTGATTTTGGGGTTTTTTTCTGTGCCTCTCCTTGGAGGCCTAGGCATCCATGCAAAAACCTTGATGGAGTTCTCCCCACAAGCACAGGAACTTTGCCTTTCCTCTCACCACATAGATAATGTGAATGCAGGCTTAACATAAAGCCTAATCAGAAGCGGCCCTGAGAGGGAATGAGCAGTTGACTTGATCAAGAAGAAAAAGTTAAACTTCATCCAAATGGAAATTAGATTAATTTAAAGCTTACAATATTAAAAAAAAAGGGGTGGGGAGGGGAAAGGACAGTCTGTACTTTTATTGGAAACAAATACTGCAATGGGTATCATGGAAAAGATGAAAAGATGGAAAGACACATGTACAATACGCTGTGCACTGTCCATAAACATTCCTAGAGATCAGAGGGGGGGTGTAAGTAACCAGAGACGTGCTCAGAATATTCCATGTGTGACAGAGAACCAACGCCTCTAGCTCAGATGCAGCACAGCAGCAGCCTGTCTCTTTTCAGCAGCAGCCTGCAGAGAGAGACAGAGAGAGGGAGAAGGTGAGTCTTAGAAGTTAGTCATTCAGTTGCATCTCTCCTTTAAACAATCATCAAAGATGATGAAAAATAAGCACAGAAAAAAAAAATGGCAGTCACCGTTTTCCCTGAGATAATTATCTAATCAAATTACATTATGCTTCACATGAAATATTCAGCAGCAGTGTTGACACTAGATGTTTTAAGACAGAAAAAAAATGTTTTAATTCATGTTAGAGATATTAAAATGCATGCACATACTTTTATTAGAAATATTCATGCAGAGATCAGAAAGCATCATTCCACTAAGCAATAGTGGGGAAAGATTTTTTGCATGAAGGAAAAAAAATTTTGCATCACCTCATGAACCATGAGCTTTATAGTATAGCTTTGAGATACTAAATTATGGATCTCTGTGTGGAGGTCTGGTAAGTCAAATACAGAGGATTTTTTGCCTGCCTACTAAAAGAAAAAGGAATGAAATTGCCTATAGTTGTCTTTAGAACAGGTTAATTTGAAACCGTGTCTGGGGAATGCTGTTTTAGAAGGAATTTGTGTCAGTACTTTGTCTCTTACTATATAGTTAAGTAACAATTCCCCACTGCTCTCCTGAGAGTTTATTGGGATGCAGTAGTGGCAGCCTAGGTATTTGGCATCACTTCAGACGGGGGAAGGAAACATTTAATTTCTGAAAAACACAATGACTCAAGCCTTGGCGCCAATGTCACCACATTAGCTGAGCAATCAGAGCAGTCAAGACAAAGTCAGCTCTTATTTATTGATGATGGGAAGAGCTGCGAGCACCACTGAGGTTAATGAAACAAAGGAGTATGGCTACGGTCCCCTTGCACATTACTCTCAGCGGCATATTTGCAGTCTGTGGGCACGCTGAGCAGTTTTTTTCCCCATCTTTCTCCTTGGAAACACCTAGGTTAAGGTGACCGGGAAAGGCAGGGCTCCCGCCTCGGCGTTGCTGGGATGTTTTCATGGGTTGGAAAACTCTAGGATCCCTCTAGTGCCCGACAGAGGCAATGGGGGAAAAAGCGAGCTGAAGTGCTCCTTCAAATGCTGATCAACGACTGAGCCAAATAAAAGCTTCCACTGAAAATAGAATGGACTTATTCCTGGCTTTGCATCACAAACTATGTTCAATTTTTTTTTCGTTTTCTGACAAGAAACTCAGCTGTATCTCATCAGCTCATAGAGTAACATTTCCATGTAAAAGCCTTCCTTTTTCTGCCTGTCTCCCATTTGATTACATTCACCATTCAAAGATTATTTGGAGATACTACCTGTTTGTAAATGTAAATGTCTCAGGTTGCTACAGGAAGGCTTTAAGCAAAGGTGAGATCTGGCTCAGTGGAAGGACTTGTACAAGAGCAATGCTGCCTTTGTCACTTTAGTTATCTTTGGTCTTTTTGTGCAAGGGACTGTAAGTACCCATGTGAATTATGATGGAAGAATTAGCTTCAGGGAGCTGCACTCTAATTTTCTAAATGCTTTTGATGTCAAAAGCCAGTCTCTGCATTAGAAGCAGAATAATTTGAAAGCAGAGAGAGGGTACAAAATACTTGGGCAACCAGCTCTTGGGGCTGCAAGGAGATAAGAATTGCAGCAGAGAATGCATTGCAGCAGACACCTTCATTTCTCCCTGCTGGGATGGAAAAGAGAGAGTCCCCAGTGAAGCAATGTGAAAAATGGACAGACGTGGTCCCTTACAGGGTTCATGGTTATGTGCAGAGCTTCTTCCCCTGAGAAGCTTTGTGAAATTTTGGTTATGGGTCTGATTTCTCTGCTGAAGAGAAGAAAGCTGGGTGTCAGACTTGTTGTGACATCTCACAGAACCTTTTTAAATGTATTCAAAATGAAGCGAGGGGAGTACTGATCCCTGCACAAATCACCTGCAGGAAGTTCTTTTTCACTGCTTTAACCCATTTTCTGGGGTACAGAACAATAGTTCATCTCTTAAATTTCTGTCTGAACAAGAAGAAAAATACCCAAACTCTCTAAGAAAATAAGTTTTGTTGCTCTTGGCATTTTCTAATTAAAGAATGATGATTGCAAGGAAATTTCAGGCTGGGTTACTTGTTTTGCCATCTCTAGCTTCTTACTACTATAAGTGTTACCTTCTTTATCTGTGTTGAGAATTGAGGGAATAAAACTGATGCACCATTCAGCCTTACCAGGTCTCTGAATGAAAAAAACTAATAAACCCACTGCCTACTTATAGGACCAAACAGAAGATGACCAGAACACACATTAAGTTTTATGTAGTGAAATCTCTTTGCACATTGACTCTCTAGCAAAACTACGTGAAAAATTAGCTTTTCAAAATAAATATGATGTGTAAATTAGTGAATAGTCAAACTGGTAAGAATACAAGGAATATACTATTTTTGAGATTTAATTTCCTGTTCTAGGGGAAAGTCTGAATTGTTCCAACAGAAGTTACTGAGAATTAAAGACCTTAAAAAGAATCTGTGAGACACTTGCACATGGAAGCTCATCAGTGTTCTGATGCACTGATAGCTTGTTTTGTTAGGGTGGAATTTTGATAAGGCCTTTTAATATGATCCTCTTGTTGCATTCAAACAGGTAGGTGTTACTGCATTTTCCAAGCCTAAAGCTTAAATCATCAATTGAAAACAGATTAGCCTAGTCAAGTTAACACCACAATATGGGGCAACAAAATTCATCTTGGGTCTGGGCTTTGCATTTCCTTTCACCTTTCTATTAATAAAATACTGATGTTGCTTCTGAAGAGAAAGGAAACATTACAGACAGAACAAGGGGCTGTTTTCCCACCACAACTGTGGCTGGAGGTTAAGCATGCGTGTGCTTGGGCTCTTTCCTGTTACCAGACTTCAAACTCAGGCTTGTACTCAGCCCTTGTGTAAGCAAC